ACAAATCTTACGCAACAATTCATAATACGCTTCAATCGCGCGTTCTCCCCCTCCGAGAGACCACCGTATGCCACACAGCTATAATCGAAGAAGGGAAGAATAAGGGAAGATACAAGGAGTTTGCGGGTGGAGAAAGATAAGAGAAGCCAGGACCGACGAAACAGGCTGAGGGAGGCAATGGAATGGCGGAAAATTTGGGAAATGTGAGAATGCCAGGAAAGGTTTTGGTCAAAGACTACTTCTAGGTTTTTAACCGAAGAGCAGAAGGGGATGGGATGGTTATTTAGCATGAGAGGTGGGATGGTGGGGAGGGAATTGAGGAGTTGCCTGGACCCGATAATTATGGCGGTGGATTTGGACGGATTGAGGACTATCCAATTTTTATGGGCCCATATGGGATTTTAGGTCTTTTTGGATCATGATAATGGCCGAGTGATCGGAAGGGTGGAAGGATATGTATATTTGGGAGTCATCGGCATATAGGTGTTAGTTACAGGACTGGATGGAGCCGGGCAGGACATTGATATAAATTGAAAAAAGGATAAGAGAGATGCTAGAGCCTTGGGGCACCCCAAATTTTAGAGGGAGGAAGGAGGAGGTAAGGCCATTGGGAATGAAGACAGCTTGGTGCCGATTGGTAAGGTAAGAGTGAAACCAGCGGATGGTGCTGGCGGAGAAGGAAAAAGATTCGAGTTTAGAGAGGAGAGAAGAGTGAGGGACAAAATCGAAGGCTTTGGAAAAATCAAGGAAAACAAGTGTAGAAACTTTCCGTTGGTCCATTGCTAAGTGGAGGTCACTGGTAATTCTTATTAGTGCTGATTGGGTGGAATAACCTTGGCGGAAGCCAGATTGGAGGGGATTGAGAAGATGGGACTGTTCAAGGTGCCTGGAGACTTGTGCTTAGACTAATCTTTCTAGGGGCTTGGACAGGCTTGGAAGAAGCCCCAATACTCTAGAAGATAGAGTGGCCTTCTCTATTTAGGACCAGGCTGATGTATTTCGGCTTAGGTAGCCCTTTCCGCGCGGCATAAGGTCTGATGCTTAATGCAGACCCGACCACTCGGAATGGGCAAGAGGGGAGCGAGGTTGTCTTGGCCCTTCGGGGCTGAGCTGCCTCTGCACCAATGCTGTGGCAGTAACACCATTCTGTCTTATGCGGAGGTGTGTCAGCTCTCATCTTGAGAATCAAAACGTCCGATAAGGCCGAATAGGCTAGGTGCAGACGTTAAAGATCTTCATTGTTCTTTTTAGGACGACCGAGTATACGGGAAAGACTATACGATGAGAAAGCACAGTGATTTCAGTTCCACGCCTAGTAGCGTGTTATAGGGGAATGGATTCGTCGTTGGCCGTAGGTGAGACCCCTGGTGGGTATGAAGAGCCTGTTGTTCGGTGCTGCTTGCAAGGGCGTCCACTTTAAACGAAACCGCGGCCGGAGCGGACCGGTATTTTCGACACTGACGAGGCCCCTTCGCTCAGGGAGATGGAGTTGTCGTCTCTACCTAGGGAGCGCGTTGGGAGACCGACTGATGCATTTCAGCCCCTTTGGGTATCCCTTTACGCGCAGCACTCGGTTAAATGCACAATGTTGACAATCCCTTCGGACGGGCCAAGCGGGAGAAGTCGGCAGCCTCTCTGATTAGTCTGTGGATGTGGTGGCTTCTACACCGAACTTCACGGTGTTCACACTATCTACCGTGAGCCTACGCTACACTATCTACCGAGAGAGGTGAGTCTCTCCTAACTTGAGAAACTAAACGTGTGAGCACATATGGAACAGACCTTTAAGACACTGCTTTGTGGTAAATCCGCTTGGATCATTTAAAGTTCCGAATAGGTTCTTGATTAATTCGGAAATGCTTGTCAGCGATGCAGGATTCGATACGGAATGGACACAGATAATGAAATAAACCATTTAATTGCACTAAATCCCTGTAATTTGATGGCGCCGCATGTTTTGAAGTACTTGTCAAATGGTTGGCTGTTCTACTCGTTGTTCATTTGGGCCCGAATTTTATAATGTTATTTTAATTCCCAATTTCTTAGATTCGACGTTCCTTTCCCTATGTATGTAAACGTGATCCGTTGGTGTCTGATTTTGTGGTGTTTTTTTGTTTATTATTTTGTTCATCATGTTTGTAACATACCTATTATTGCGTGCAATGGGCTTTTAGTTCGCTTTTGTATTTATCTTTTGTCAGTGGTTCGGTTTTTAGTATATCTTTTATGCATTGTATTGTTTTCTATTTTTTGTAGGGGAAGTGATTTGAATCAGTTGTATGATGTCCGTGGGTCTTCTCTATATGTTGAGTTGTAATTAGTTGTCAATTTTAGTGATTGTTAGATCTAAAAAAATTATACTGTTTTTGTTTTCTATTTTTCTTTTGAATTTTATGTTTTCGTTTAAAGAGTTCTGGTACAAAGGCGAAATAACATCTGACAGACAAACCGTACACGAATAGGCTTCGAAGATGATCGGTTGAAGATAAAGATCAATGTACAAATTCTTTGTACGGTAGGGTTTTGTAATTTCGTATAATTAGAGTTAGTTTATTTTTTTATTAATTAATATTTATGAAACATATTGGTTGAGATAAAAAAGTCAGTACCACGAGCGGGATTCGAACCCACGATCTTCGGCTAGATATGCCGCTGCTCTACCACTTGAGCTATCGCGACTTCGATCCGCTCGGACACCAACTTCACACCTCAACTCACCTCTCGAATTTCCCTCCTTTTTGCCATTTTTCAAATCTCGTGTAATCTATTCGATTTTCGGCGACCAATGAAATGGCCAGGGAGAACTTTCGTGAAGATATACTTCAGTTTAATTATTAAATCCATTACTGTTCGTGGTCCCAACGGATCGAAGTCACGATAGCTCAAGTGGTAGAGCAGCGGCGTATTTAGCCGAAGGTCGTGGGTTCGAATCCCGTTCGTGACACTGACTTGTTTATCTTAACCAATACCTTTCAAAAATGTTAATTAATTGCTAAAAGTTAATTGGTCAATCGGACCACGAACTGTAATGGATTTATTTTTTGTATTTATTAAAAACCAAAACGTTGATATATGTCACAATTAACTAGTAATTGTTTTAAGGAAGGGATGGGCCCAACCTAGACTTTGTCTAGGTTCCAGAGGAAATCCCTCGATCGGTCTGACTATAATTTTTTGAAATTCGCCAGATACCCTTTTTTTATTGATTTTACCTTTAACCATAAAATTGACCTTTATTTGTTATAATGGATAAATTTTGAAATGTTAGAATTAAAAGAAATGAAATACACAAATTTAACATTTTATATCTTTAGACAATTATTTTAATAGTTTAAATATTACAAGAGCAAAGTGAAACTTTTAATCGAGATGAAAAACAAAATTAAATAAAATGTAAAAAAAGTAACAATTTAACCCACTGGTTTTTCCTTTTTCAATCTTAAGTGAAGTATGAAATTGAAATTTAATGACAGTTGAAGGAATAGTTGTTTTACTCACAGGACCAATTATTAAACGGTGCGTCTTACTCGGACGGAGGTCTTTCTCTCACTGGCTTAAATCCCAAAGTAAGTAAACAAAACCATATTAAGGGGATTGTCTGACACAGTGTGACATATATTTTTTTTTCAACGTTAATTTGAAATTCACTATTTTCGTGGTCCGCTTGACCAATTAATACAAGACAATTAATTAAGGTTTTTAGTTGAGATGAAAAAAAGCTAATGGCACGAGAGGGATTCGAACCCACGACGTTCGGCTAGATACGCCGCTGCTCGACCACCTGACCTATAGTGACCTCGATCAACTCCCCATCTCAACCCCACCTTATGAGTTTTCCCTCCTGTTGCCATTTTTCAAATGTCGTGTAATCTGTTTGGTTTCTCGACGACAATTGAAATGGCGACGGAGAGTTGATGTCCGAGTGGATCGAGGTCACGATAGCTCAGGTGGTAGAGCAGCGGCGTATCTAGCCGAAGGTCGTGGGTTCGAATCCCTCTCGTGCCNTATATATAATTTTTTTTCTCACAAAAGAATGATTTTAGGTTGAGAAATTCTCTTTTAGAAATTAGGTTTATTTCTGGTATATATTAACATAGAAATTGCTGATCCATTGTACTTTTTGGAAAAAATAGTTTTACGGTGGATTTATAAAAATGCTGCTAATTTTCATACATGATAAATTCACACATATACACCTCCATCATAATAGAAAGCGTAATATACATAAATAAAACTTACACCCCCAAACACCCACTTTAAAGATTTATACGGTCATACACGAAAATATTTATAAGAATTATACAGAAAAATAATTCTTCCGTTTTTTAAATCGTAAATGGAAAGTTCGTAAATATTTAATGCGCAACTGCGTGGGACTGCCGTAAAGAGGAAAATAAATATTTTCAGAATGGAATGCTACTCAGCTTTAATACCTGTATGCTCCTTACAACCCCTGAATATTCAATAAATCATACTTCTCTAATCTTTCTGTAGCCCCTTTTAAAAATGATTTTATCTTCGATGTGAGAGGATATGGCATTGATTCCTTTTCATGATTCTGATGATTCACTAAAAAGGTGTAATTACAAGAAGAAAAAGTATTTTTCCTAAAGATTTTCCATTTCATGTTGCAATGCTATCTAAATTTATTATACTTTATCCAGCCTCTTACTTTCATTTTCTTGATTTTCAGATAGGAATATTTACATGAAAAATATGGAGTATTTTCGGCCGGTTCAACTTTCTACAAGCAGCAAAGTAGCGAAATGGGAGCCAGGCTTATGAAGTTTGGAAATAAAAGTAAATAATTTCCTTCGGAAAGTGGGCAGATGAATAAAGTTTTTGCATTAGAAACCGTCCTAAGTTTAAATTTGCTGGAAATATCGTATATCGGTATACCGTGGTCATAAACGTACACGACCGACGTCGAATCGGTGGGGGCGGCCGTTGCATGAATGAATGCCGGCGCATGCACGTTGACTGCCGTTGCAGCCGGCGTGGTCCTGACACTCCAGTAGACCGCCGACGACCGTGAGTGAAACACGGCCTGAAATTCGATCCGACAGAAACGCGACAATTGCTGTTGCTGACCGCGTCTGCCCGGTCGACATGCGGCTCTGACATGCCTCTGTACAGTAACAGCCTCTCCCCTTCTACCTTCGATAAGGTAATAGTGAAATTTAAATTTAAAATTTAAAAAAGAATGAGGCTGATAATACATAAAAGTCCATGAATTCGCCATGCTAATAGCAATACTTCAAATCACTATAAAATTATTAACCTAAACAATAATAAAATTTTAATAAAATACACAAAGGGAACCATTCTGCAGTTGTAAATTTTCATATCTTTCATTATCATAAAGAAAAATCATTACAGGTTTTCATATATTGAAAATAAAGATTTAACCCCACTGAACATGTTGTGTTCTTTCAGTTATTGTATTGACTATTAAATTATTTAAGAAGTTTCAAAAGTTTAATGTTTAATTTATTATTTCTTCGCTTTTACCACAGTTTCTTTCTGTTTCTCTTTTTGGAGGATCAATTATTCCTACGTAGACTTGTTATTTTCATTGCCAGCGTTCGATATCGCAAGTGATACTCTGTCTATTGGCAATTACACATGCCATTCACGGACTTCTAATTCAGATAATTTACGCTGACATAAATACCGTCACAAAAAGAACGAAATTCTTTTTCCAATATGCTCCACCATAAGACGAACATGTGATACATCAGGAATGTCTCATTTTTTTAAATTTGAATTTTTTTCAAAGTGAAAAAATGAAGTATAATAGTGAATCAACCATGAAAACTTGCGGTTCTAACTGAATACCTAAAATATATAGTATAAACATAAAATTGGGCGGTTTCTGGTAATTCTACGGGATCAAACCCATAAATAATTGCACACCGGCAAATTCTTATTTCATCCATAAACAAAACAGTTCAACATGGTAGTCAAATCATAATTACACATAAATATCAGTTAAATCTGTATTTTATTGTATTTTTTTACAAACTATAATCTGACTAGCTGAAAGAAGGAAGTAGGACAGGTTTATCCGCATAATGCTGATGTAAACGGAATATTGTTTATTCTGTTAAGTTCTAGGAACTTAAGAACTTTTGATAGGATTAATTAGATTTATCAATGTCTAGTTAAACAAAGTATTTTTCCTATTACTGCTTTGTTATTTTCTCTCTCTCTCTCTCTCTCAATCTCTCTCTCTCTCTCACACACACACACACACACACACACACACACACACACACACACACACACANACTCACACACACACACACACATATATATATATATATATATATATACATACACACACACACACACACACACTTTCTGCCTATTTATATCTCTTTTATTTTTATTTCCCCAACGTCTATTTAAAGCTAAGTTTAGCATTTTTTCTTCAATTGTCATCCTGAGAGGTCAAAGTTCGATTCTGGTTCGAAACACGCATGAAAACACGGCTATTGCGGAATGCGGGTGGTGTGACCCAGTTATTTCAGATTCACACGTGCAAGGAGCGAAAACTAAGATTACAAAACAAAGAATTTACGCCCGTCAAAAATACACGATATAATTAAAAATGTACTTAAATATGCAGCTTATAACAAAACGTCTAATTTTTTTGAGTGAGAAAATTCGGATTATTCTGTCGTCCAAAAGGTTTTCAAATATCAAGACGATGTTTGAACTGATGTGAACGAGAATAAAAATGAAACAAACCTCATGAGAATTGTACAAGGGCGACTTTGGATAGAACGGGAACTCACGAGAAATCCATAAACCTTTATCGTCGTTAAAACTTAATTGAGCTAAACAGGTTCGCCCCGGCGAATGTCTTTCAATTTACGCCCAGGCCCTTTTCCGAGCCGACGGGCATTGTCTGAAATTGTGTCGTACCAGAAACGTTTTCGAATTTTTTCTAGTTGGCTTTTTTAAGAAGAACTCTGAGGCGTGCAATAATTCTCAGCCGTATCAGCGAACCAAGGTTGGGAGTTCGGGTAATTATCAAGTGGTTTGACCTATTTAAAATTAACAACTAAACAAGAAACAGATGCAGTTTAAAGGTTGGCTATTCCTACTGTTTTGTCTAGGAGGTTTTTTTATAGAAATCAACATGTTTCATGTATATTTTTGGTTGCAGTCTCTCGTTATCAACCAATAATGATTCAGTTTATTTTACACGAAAACCCATATGTAAAACATCATAAAATAATTAATGTTGCTTGAATTCAATTCATTTTGTACTAAGCATAAATTAATAAATTATCCGATCAAATTACTAAAGAAGTTCTAGGAATAATATTTTATATTTGCGACTAAGAACATTAATTGTCTAGCTTTATTCAGTGTTTATTTAGAAATCGTGAGATGCGGTCTGGTGTGATGTAGGTTTCAGAAAAACATTTTCTTTATCCTGCCAACGTTTATTGTTATTTATTATACACGTTATTTCTCTTGTCCGATGACTTCAAAATAGCTTTCAAAAATTATAAAACAATTCAAACACTTTTTTTCCAAAATTAAAGATCCCACACCAATAACAAATAAATCTGACGTAATCTACAAGATCAACTTACATCGGTCTTACATCCTAATATCTGGACAAGAGAGTTAAGCAACATATCTATGATTGCAAAAAACCTAAGCAAAATCCTACAGCACTCGTTACTTACCATCTTGAACACCAACACAATTTCGACTTCCAAAATCCAAAAGCTTTTTTGGACACACACACAGAACAAAACAAACATAAACGTAATTTCTTAGAAATGGTTTATATCAACAGAGATAAACACAGCATCAATTACAGAACAGATACATGTAAACTCAGTCGCAGCTACGCCAATATCATTAATCAAATTCAATACAGATAACATACCTATATCATCACATTACATTCCACACATCAAATATTTTTCACATAGTCTAATTTCCCAACAATTTAGCTTTCCTTTTCCTATTTATCCCTTTCTATATAATCCTGAAAGGATAATCTGGCCGAACCATTACCAACACATTTTTTCCCTTCGTCGGCTCTTTTCACCTCAAAGAAGCCGACGCCTTATACAAAAATGTCTTTTCTATACCGACATCCTTCCCCACCCCTTCAAAATCCAACGTATATAAACACAAAATAGCAAAATCTCACTGGCACTCTCGACACGACACGCAAGAATGGCACAATTACACAGAAGACAAACACTTTGAGTGAGTAGAAATACTTTGATTGAATATATAAAAAAATATATTTTGCATTGTATAAATTCACTTTTCCACATCCAAAATGTAATTGTTATATGTAAACAATGTTTGTAAATCCCAGGCCCTGAAGATGATCTCAATAAAGATCGAAACGTTGGCACGATAAAGAAAATGTTTTTCTAAAACCTACATCACACCAGAGCGCATCTCACGATTTCTAAATAAATATCGATTTACGGTCACTAATCACCACACATTTATTCAAAGTATTTATTGTGTGAACTGCAGGATAATTTTCTTCCACTTGAAAAAGGCAGTTTCTTCATAAAAGATCTCTCTTTCTCTCTCACCCTCTCTTTCTCATCTTTTCACTCTCTCTTTCTCTCTGTCCTCCCTCCCTCTCACTCTCTCTTTCTCTCTTAAATCACATTGATCGCCCTGTAATACATTCACGCAAGATATAGATGTAGATGTATTAATCGGGGTGTGTCTTATACTTCGCCCTTTAAAAGCTATTTTATAGTATATATTTCGTTCTGTGCATATCGGTAAGTCCTAGTTTATCAAAGGACATCAAAGAACATGACTAATTGGCCCGGTTTGAATGGTTGGATGTTATTTACGGTTACGTTGTGTGTCCCAGATCACTTTCTCCTGCAGGCATGTGTAGCACCATAATGTGTCAGTAGGTGTGTTGGTGTTTCCTCTGCTTCTTTGCAGAATCTGTACGTCCTGTGTTGGGTTATGCCTATCTTCTTCAGATATGCATTTTGTTTAGTTGTTAAGAATCCTGTTAGGATTCGCAGTTTTTTCCTAACTCCTTTAATACATTCATACTCACGCTATGAAATTAACTGTCAACACAGAACTATCAGTATTATGAACAATATTTTTCTTTTCGTTAGGTAAATTGGTGATGAGGCGAGGAAGACAGAAACAACATTTATTTTCTTGTCGAGCTTTCGGCAGAATATATTGCCTTCATCATGACTCTGTATTAACAAATTAACATAAATAAATTTACAAATATACTAAAAAAAATTTGAAAATTTTATATTTGAAAATTTATTTATGTTAATTTGTGAAAAGAATCTACCTATGAAAAGAAAAAAATTAAAGTGAGAAGGCTGATCAATCACCAAAGTCAATATTATATACAATAAATTGCAACAATTATATACAATAAAGCACCCCTTTTCGCTCCAAAAATCGGAAAAGGGGACGCCAAATGCTGTGTTCAAGCACGCTTTCTATACCAGATGGCATTCCTACGCGCTCTCTATATGGAGCCAAGGAATTGCTGCATCCTTCAACCAGGTGGGACACATCAAGTAACCTTTTCTACATGCCGGCCAAATACGTGAACTTTCACCCCAAACTAATTTTCCGCGTGTCAACCTCGCGTGGCGTATCTTTAATGACCTCTCTTCTACGAGTCACATCCTCAGATGGTCACCTATCGGCTCTTGATATGTTGGCTCCTCTGCCGATCCGGTCCGATGCTATATATCAGACTGAAAGCTGATTTTAATCAGCTAATTAAAAATAAAAAATTTGAGCACAAATCGCATTCCAGAAATCTGGTCTTGGATGATGTAAAGTTGGGGACTGTGACAGATATGTTGGTAAAAAGCTAATTAAAGAAATCATACATATGTCCTAGCAGCGACAGCATAATATAAATGTAAGAAATCAATAAGAAATTGGCTGCATTGTTAAGACGAAATTATCCGTTCTGATTTCGTTAGAAAAAACACCAAATTTGTACTGTAATCTTCTTCTTGTGGTTAGATAGTTGATCCGTTTTTGATTACCAAACTCCTTTTTATTAGAGGGCGTTTTTTTATTGTAGAATAAGTGAAATGTTATTGATGCGTATTTAAAAGCCTTTCCTCCCGGCAACCAAGTCGTTTTCATACCGACTATTGTCAT